TCGCCGGGATTTGTGACGACACCATCCAAGGAAGTGGGGGAGGCCTCGCTTGAAGTCGGCATGCTAGCTTCTTGACGCGCACGTAAACTCCTCCGACCAGCTCTGATACCACTTATGTAGAGGCGTCTCCTCTACTTTGAAGGAAGTATGAGTTGTACTACACAATAGAGCACTCTGTTGGCTTTCCAACGAGCCGTAGAACACGTCGATCGCCTAAGCATCCGCCGAGATATATGCGTTCACGTGAAGGCTATGCTCTTAGAACGTAGGATAGGAGCTCTCTGGATTTTGTGTCGAGTTTATCACATACAAAGTGATTCTGGATTTCAGTATGATTCATGCAATACAAAGCAAACACATTTATATGTTCTGCAATACATCGAGTTGCACAAGTAACCTCGAGTCGCTACACTCTCGAATGTTCGAGTAACATTTCGAAGGGGTGAAATTCGGAACTCGAATTTCACCGAATCGAATTCTCCTTTAGTCTTGATTGTTCTTGTGCTGCCATGTGGCACCGAAATGCAAGTCCTCCGAAGTCAACATGCACCTTCTCGACAATCTCCAATCTTCGTGTACCTTCCAACTTGCAGCTCACTCAACCGTGAGCTTCATTCGGTGGTTGGGGGCAAACCTTGCCTCACGCAACCTCCAACAGGGCTGAGGTGAAGCCCTAGGACATTCAAGAGATTTGTCATTAATAAAGTAAAAGCATCGGAAGTAGGAATGCCCATGCTGGTAATGGTGAGAACAAGAATTGATAAAAAAGTTAAACATATAGTCGTAGGAAACTACCTATTCGGTAATGTACCCGTTTACTAACCAGGCTTTTTTATCGAGTCGACACTGAAACGGTACTTCTAATGCTGTGCCACGCAAATAGTCACGAGACTATTCGCGCTACTACCTGGTACACTCACGAAGGGAAACATAATACTTCGATAATGATGTACTAACTCGATCGAACTACTGAATTGCGTAAGTCCTTCTATTCACTTCAACACAGCGGATGGTTGACTATATGAAGACAGTGGTACATATCTCTCGTATGAGGTAAATCCAGAACCTTGAAAGTGCCAGTTTCTGCTCCATTAACATGATGAAGCACGCGGTGGAAGAAGAGACCTTCACACGGAAGGCGGTCTGATCTGCACCTTTAGCTTGTACAGCACCAGCATATCCTTCAGCAATGTACTCTGGCTGTAGCACCTGAAATTTCTCAAAGTTGTGAGCATCGTCAGTAAGAATTGGAGACCAAACACGCTTCATCAACATTTGCATTGTTGAAATAACAGATGCGACTTTCTGTAAGAATGCGAATGGAAGTAGTTGAATTGTGGTGAAGCGAAGTCTTGAAAGAGCCTCCTTTTTAACATTGATGTTCAGCTCTTCGTATGAATCATCCTCAATGAATGGGTTTTCTACATCAGTTGTGCTTGCTAGGGCCTGGAGCTTATCTCCAATGGAGAGATAGGAACTGCCAGCAGTAGCGTATGATCAAGACAGTGTGTTAACAGCCTATGCCCGCTTCCCCTCTATTGGCTTTACCGCTGGATTAGCGACATTGCCCACACTGTCAGGAGGAGCAGCAGTAAGAGCTTCGTTCTTAGAGCCTTATGAGTAAAAACCGAGAGTTTTAAAGAGAAATGACCTTGAAAGTCAGAACCATAATCTACTTTGTCGTGCATGTGAGCTGACAATTGTTCCTCGCAATATGCCATCAAGGAAACCATTGGGAATGCTTGAATGATCCTTATGTGTTGTCAAAGCTTGTGTAACTTCAAAGAACCATGAAATTGTCGCAAGATATTGTACACACGATGAAGACCTTATGGTTGTGTACACATGATGAAGGTATTCTAAAAATATGTTTTGGTGTAGCCAATTTTCCGCCTCATGGCTACTTGCGACCGAACTCGGGGAAGGCGGCAGGGGTGCGATCTCCCATGCCACAAGACGATCACAGCCGAAGAAACAACGAAGCTGTTCATCTCAACCGTCGTACGCCTACACGGGTTACCTTCGGCGATCATCAGCGACCAAGATCCAAAATTTACGTCGAAGTTCTGGCAGGAGACGTGGACACAGTACGGCACTCGCTGTCTGAAAACCAACACTGGGGATGCCCGATTGATCCTAGGGAAGGGTTACAGGCTCGCTGGCCTGGGGGTTTATGGGCGCACTGACCCGCTACTTAACAAGCCCTTTAATCCCAGTGGTCTAGTGACTGGGATTCTGACATGGTATCAGAGCGAAGGTCTCGGGTTCGAATCCCCATGTGTGCACATGTTGGCGCTGCCGCTGTGCCGTGTCCTAGGGCATCCCTGTGCGGGGGGGGTGTCTAAAAACCAACACTGGGGATGCCCGATTGATCCTAGGGAAGGGTTACAGGCTCGCTGGCCTGGGGGGTTATGGGCGCACTGACCCGCTACTTAACAAGACCTTTTATCCCAGTGGTCTAGTGACTGGGATTCTGACACTCGCCTGCAGTTTTCATCGTCTTACCACCCGCAAACCGACGGTCAGACAGAAAGGACAAGCCAGACCATGGAGCAGCTGATACGCACCAACTGCCCCGACCTGACCAAGTGGGAGGACTCACTCCCGATGCTAGAGTTTGCGTATAACAACGCACCCTCTGCAACGACTAACCAGTCGCCGTTTTACTTAAATTACGGGATAGACCCCGTGGTACCTTCATCAACGACCCTTGACAACCCGGTGCCATGATCCCAGGAGTTTGTCACGGAATTCCAAACAGCCCGCGACAAAGCAGCGGAATTTATCCGGAGGGCAAACATGGTCGCTATCCGCAATGTCAATAAACATTGAAGGGATTTACCCTTCTGCGACGGGCAGATGGTTCTCCTGGACACGAAGAATCTTCGACTGCCCCAGCCAGTGAAACTCCGTCCCCGGTACATGGGAACCTTCCGCATCATCAGGATGCTGACACCTCTCACGGCAAAGCTAATGTGATCGGATGATAGGAAAAATCATGACGCATTCCACGTCAGCCTGCTGCGTCATTACGTCGCACCACAGTCGTCTGACGTTGCCCGCCCCAACATCGCGCCAAGTGTTCGTCCTGTGGCAGACCCGACACTTCAGCCCTGGAAGATTTTTAATAATCGCGTGCGTGTGATGCCGACAGGACGCCACGTCGACTTCCTACTACGATAGGTCGATCGCACGAGTGAAGATGATACGTGGGTCAGGCTGGACTCGCTGCAAGGCTACTCGGTATTACGGGACTACCTTTACCGCCGACCCGTGCCTGGTATTCACCACCTTTCTTAAAGGGAGGGGGGGGGGGGGGGGGGGGGGGTAGTGTAAGGAAATTTCCCTAATTTCTTACTGAGGCACTTCATACGCGTACAACTCCAACTTTCGGAGTTCCGGGCTCGGTCCGATGACGTCGCCCTCTGAACGTCCCTCGCGTCGCCTTCGGGTTTCCCAACCCCAAACCTACACCCAACCATTCGCGGTCCCACGACCTCGGCCTAGCTAGCCTTCGCTATATCTCTGCTAGGCTTCATTATTCACTGGGTACTTGTATTTACTTCCGTGTTATTGAATTCCTGCGCACTCTTCTTTACACAACTCATAACAGTGGGCAAGTCACGTGTTACACGTGAGGGTTCAGTAATCCTTCCCAAAATGCAAAGCATTTGAATCCCTCAACTGTCCTCCCTATATAGGTACTCATGCGAGGGAAAGCCTCATTTGAAGTTAAATGGAGTTACATCGCCTCGCCATCCATAGACAAAGGGTAGAGAGATACTAAACGCCCTTGCCACATCAAGCTAGCGAACCTAGTATTTCTGCACCCCGTGCATTCTTAGTGCACAAAAAACGGGTCTCACAATACCACTACTTTGTTTCGTCTCCTACGCAATCAGACAAAATACTATCAATATTGTTGCAACCTTGCACAACTAGTGTGGTCATCAGCTCTGGATTGTCAAAATCCTTTGCAGTGACTTGGAACATGCTGATGTCTTCTCGAGCCAAGAACAGCTCATCCAATAAGACATCTGCAAAAGAAGCTTCCAAGCGCTCTCCCACATCGACCAATTCATCATATGGCGATGATCCGGCCACAAAGCAACTCAAAATGCTCATGCTGCCGCTGCTGCTGGTAGTGTTGTTACGTCGAACGATTTGATCGTACGTCAAAGCGTTGGAAAAATCGTTACGAGTAACACCCAACAGACCATTATGGCAAATGCCAGGCTCCTTGACATTGCTGCTGTTACTGTGGGAGCAGCTCCTGCTGCTGCTGTTCTCACAGCTCTTGCTGCTGCCCCCACCATCCACCATGTAAGCTGCTGCTTCTGTCGAAACAGTTTTCTGAAGCTGCTGCTGTGGCTGATAATGCTGCAGCAAATACTGCTGGGATTGGAGCATATGCGGCAGACGACAATCCCTGATTTCCATGCTCGACATCTGCTTCCACTCTGTATGCTGCTGAAAGGCAGTGGTTTCACATGTTGACGTGGCGATCCCACCACATGCTGACACGTCAGCACAATTGGGTGCTGATGTGGCAACAACATTGTTCCCAAAAACTGGTTTATGCATGACAGGTTGGCGGATACCAGAACTAGCACACGGGGCGCAAACCCTCGGAGGAATGGTAAACTCAGGGCCAGGAATAACGTCAGCTTCAGTAGTGGTATCACCAGCGCCACTGCTGGTAACACCAAGCCCATTGGTCGTGACACCCGAGTCAGCTGCAGGAGCAGCAGAAACGGTATGGAAGCCCACTGGCAGGCCAGAAGGATTTCCAGTTGGATTAGCTGTATAGGCTGCTTCACTGTATCCAAGTGAAGGTGCATCCGAGGTGCATGCGGTAACAGCAAGTGTGAATGTGGTAACCGCAGGGATGTGCGCAACTGTTGCAGCAATAGAGTCACTGCATACGTCGGTGACACTCATGGTGACGTCAGCAATGCCAGCGGTGACATCAATGGTGGGAGAAAGAACTCCAGGAGCACATGCTGTCTGTTGACCTTCAAGCTTCTCAGTGCAGCAAAGGGTTGCTGGCGTATACTGCTGCTGATGCTGCTGCTGCTGATGATGCCGTTGATGATGCTGTTGCTGTTGCTGATGCTGCTGACGCTGCTGTTGCTGCTGTTGCTGCTGTTGATGTTGCTGCTGTTGCTGATGCTGAACCTGCTGTTGCTGCTGCTGCTGCTGCTGCTGTTGCTGCTGCTGCTACTGCTGCTGCTGCTGCTGCTGCTGCTGCTGCTGCTGCTGCTGCTGCTGCTGCTGCTGCTGCTGCTTCTGCTGCTGCTGCTGCTGCTGCTGCTGCTGCTGCTGCTGCTGCTGCTGCTGCTGCTGCTGCTGCTGCTGCTGCTGCTGCTGCTGCTGCTGCTGCTGCTGCTGCTACTGGTGCTGCTGCTGTTGCTGCTGCCACTGATCCTTTTGCTGCTGCTGATGTTTCTTCTGGTGCTGCTGCTGCTGCTGCTGCTGGGGGTGATGGTAGTGCTGCTGGTGCTGCTGGTGCTGTTGCCACTGCATCTGTTGCTGCTGCTGGTGCTGCTGCTGGGGGTGGTAGTGCTGCTGGTGCTGCTGTTGCTGTTGCCACTGCTCCTATTGCTGCTGCTGCTGGTGGTGTTGTAGTTGCTGGTGGTGTTGCTGGTGAATCTGCTGCCGTTGCCACTGCTCCTGTTGTTGCTGCTCCCGCAATTGCTGCAGCAGCTGCAGCAGCTTCTGCTGCTGCTGCTGCTGCTGGTCTTGCTGCTGAACATGCTGGTGTTGCTTCTGCTCCTGCAGCCGGAAATGACTTTTCAGGTTCTGCTGCTCCGGCAGCTGCAGGTGCTGCTGCTGCATAGGCTGCTGCAGGCTCTGATGCCCTTCCAGTCCGTGAAAGGAGAACCCCATGTACGGATGTACAGCACCTTGCATCTGCTTCACGAGGGGACCCTGCAGCTGCACTGGCTGCTGCACTGGCTGCTGCAGGTGCGCTTGCTGCTGCATCGGCTGCTGCAGGCTGTGCCGCCCTTCCAGTCCGTGAGAGAAGAACCCCATGTCCTGAAGTACAGCACGCTGCATCTGCTTCAATAGCAGTCCGTCGTGCTGCTCCAAAGCAGGCACGGTGGCGGCATATGCTTGAGGCACCTCAAAGCTCGGCTGTTGCATCTCGTGCATCGGGTGAGGACCCTGGTGCACGTAAGGACCCTGCTGCACGTGGGGACCCTGCTGCAAGTGGTGACCCTGGTGCATGTAAGCAACTGCGCTCTGGTTCTGCCACGCTTCGAACCTAAGCTGTTGCACCTGCTGCACTTGCACTCCTTCCCGCTGATCCAAAGCACTCACGGATTCGACTGCGTTGGGGCCAACAGCCGTTTGAGACTGCTCAAGAACCGGCTGTATTGCCTCCTGCTTCTGCCTCATCTGCAGTCTATGCTGCCCCTGATCAAGCTTGTTTGGGAATGTCATTCCCCCAGCAGCTGGAAATAGCACTGGAATAGCTTGTGCTGCTGGTGCGGTGTTGCCCGCAGCAGCAGCACCAACAGCAGCAGGAGCACCAACAGCGGCACCAGCACCAACAGCAGCACCAGCATGAGTACCAGTTGCATAACCAGCAGTACCAGCAGCAGCAGCTGCATGGGTACCAGCTAGGTAGGTCAGATTAGGCAGCACGACATTCCAGCCGGTTGCTCTCACTGATGCCACCTTTGAGTACTCGGTTTTTGGTACCAATGCTGACGATGTTACTGATACTGCTGCTGCTGCAACATTCGCTGCTGCTGCTGCCGCTGCTGCTGCCTTCAGAGTCGAGTACTCGTTTTTCGGTACCAATGCTGCTGATGCCACCGGTGCTGCTGATGCCACTGGTGCTGCTGATGCCACCGTTGCTGCTGATGCCACCGTTGCTGATGTTGTTACTTCTGCCACTGGTAGTGGTGGTGACGCTGCTGCGCCCGGCTGTGATGTTGCAGCTGCAGGGACGTTAACAGGTGCATGGAAGTGAAGAGGTTGGAAGCTTTCGAGTTGAAGAAATGGCGAAGGAAAGACGCTGCTGGTGCGAACTGAGGGTACTAGGAGGGAGGCTGGCTGTGAGGTAAGGGGTGTAGCAGGATGGCAGGTTGCAGCAGGAGGGCAAGTTGTAGCAGGAGGACAAGTTGTAGCAGGACGGCAGGTTGCAGCAGAAGGGCAAGTTGTAGCAGGACGGAAGGTTGTAGCAAGAGGCCAGGTTGTTGAACGAGGGTAGGTTGGAGCAGGAAGGCAGGTTGTAGCAGGATGACAGGTGGTATTGGGAGGGAAAGCGGCAGCAAGAGGGAGGGTTCTAGTAGGAGGAAAGATTGCAGCTGGAGGGGAGGTTGTGGTAAGAGGGAAAGCTGTAGCCGAAGAAAAGGTTTTAGCAGGGGGGAAGGTTGTACCAGGAGGAAAGGTCATAAAAGGAGCGGAAGTTGTAGCAGAAGGGAAGGTTTCCATAGGAGGAAAAGTCGCAGGAGGAGGGACGGATACAGCAGAAGATAAGGTTTTAGCAGGAGGAAAGGTTACAGCAGGGGGGGGGGTTGTAGCAGGCAGGGAGGTTGTGCCAGGGGGGGTAGAAGGAGGGAAAACTGTTGCATGAGGGAGGGTTGTAGCAAGAAGCGAGGCTGTAGCAGGAGGGAAGACTGTAGCTGGAGGGGAGACTGTACCAGGAAGGGAGACTGTAGCAGGAGGGCACGCTGTAGCAGCTGTGACAGTCACATGAGTGTGAGGAATGCAGTGGCATGTCGGGGGATGGTTATGTGTGCCAGAATACACCGTCCACACCACCACCCGCATCTCTGTTCTGTCACGCCCTGTATTGTCACTTCGTGGAGCCGAGTGGTTTGTAGAAGAAGTGGAACCTCTCGCCTTGGAGACGGCGCCTTGAGGCTTGTAGCGACAAGGCCGGGCCTCCCCAGCCACGCGGTCCTCCGTTTTTTTCGCCAGGCAGCCCGTGAGTTGCTTGAATGTGCAGACGAAGTAAATCCTGCAGCAGAGACGGACGGGAAATCGGCGCGCGTTAGATACATTCTTTGGATCAGGAACCCTGAGAGGACTGAATATGCTACTCTGACTGACAAGCGCAGCAAAAGCAAGTGGCTCACTATAGAGTTGCAAAGAGATCCATACAAGCACCTTGTAAAGAAGGCGGAGGGAGAAGAGGGGTGGTGGGACTGCTACTACCAGCAGCCTCAGTCAAGGTAGCTTTACCATGGTCATGAACCGTAGCCTTAGCCAAGGTACCAGAAGCACCAGTAGTACCTTTTTACTTGCTGGCCAACGATCCGTTTGTGCGTAGCCTTTCTCCATCTAAACCCTTCGCAGCCTTGGCAACCGTTGCACAGTGCATGGAACTCCTGGTCCTCCTCCTGCTGCTGCTTCTGCGGCTGCTGCTGCTGCTGCTGCTGCTGCTGCTGCTGCTGCTGCTGCTGCTGTTGTTGCTGTTGCTGTAGCTCATGCTGGTGCTGCTGACGCTGCGGGTCATGATGATATGATGATGCATTTGATCCATCATAACCGTTCATCTTACTGCTTCCGTATCAGCAGGCAGTAGGATGTCACGGCTGGATTTCAGAGGAGGTCACTGATTGTTGCTGGCTGTCTCAGGATGTTGCAAAACGACACGGGGGGTCAGTGGGTGTCAAAGGATGCTGCTGGATTTCACAGGAGGTTCTGGATGTCCCAGGAGTCAATGGATGTCCCAGGAGTCACTGGATGTCACAGGAGTCAATGGATGTCACAGGAGTCAATGCATGTCACAGGAGTCAATGGAGGCTCTGGAAAGGTCACGGCTGGATTTCAGAGGAGGTCCTGAATGTCACAGGAGGTCACTGTATGTCAGTCACAGGATGTCACAGGATGTCACAGGAGGTCCTGAATATCACAGGAGCTCACTGTATGTCAGGGGAGGGTCACCGGATGTTAGCGTCACTGGATGTCACTGGCGCCAACTGAATGTGAGAGGATGACTCCGCGGATATGTGAGATGCTGAGGATTCAACCGCATCCGCAGGAACACGGCACGTGGTTGCTGTCAGAATCCGCTCCGTGAAAATGGGGTACGAGCAGTACTACCCAGAAAAAACCGCAACCACTGTGGTGCTTGCCGAAAATGGGCATAGGAGGAGATTTCATTCACTTACAAACATCCTAACGATAAACTCGAATACAAACCATCCCATAGCACCAAATGACTCTGACGAAATGTGGACCTGCTTTGGAAGCGGAAAGACGTCTATGGCGGACGATTTTGAGATACGAGGGCCTCAGGAATCAAGACGGTTTTGGTTCTTGCATCGAGTGAGCGTGACTAGGACTCCTGATACCAGGAATACTGGTAGTAGTACGAGGAACCACCGAGTCACTGGATAGGACACGTCTTATCACGGTTTGAAGCAAAAGAGACGACAACCAATCCTATCGAGCTGAGACAATAAACCCGAGATAACCCCAATCCTATCATTGAATGAAAGTCGAGCATCAATCCGGGACCATCAATCTGAGGATCACTACCAGTGACACTGCATCAATCTGGGTTGCAACATCACTCTCACAAAAGTCCTCGGGGGGACTACACTCTGTTTCGCGCTACAATGACATCAGCTATATGAGTTTGCCGAAAAAAAACAGCATGGTTTAGAGTGGAAAGCAATGGTTTACTTGTATGGTTCAATTATATAATTTGGTTCAATGGTTCAATTATACACTCTGTTTCGTATCTGTCAGCCTGCCAGATACGCGCTGGTGCAAAGGTCGAGAATCAGGGTGAACTTATCGAATCCTTCCGACCTAAACTTGGCGGGGAATGCAGCTGCGCGGGGAGCTGCGCTTTGGGAGCATGCAAGGACATTCACCTATGACACCCGGAACCAATGATCCGCAAAGATAGGCTTGGGCTGGGTTGGTTTTGAGAACAGTGTCGCTCGGAACTAACAACAAAGCTGCTCGCATCACGACTATACTCAGAACAACCAACTAGGCGTCGTTGGTGGGCTAAATCCGCTGCATTCGTTCAAGGAGGCAATGGACAAGATGCAAGTGGTGCAATCAACACCTGGGGACAGTGGGCAAATGCCAGGTTTTGTAGAAACATGTTGTCGACGATGTCTTGCTCACATGTGGATGACTGAGGTGGACTAGCTGGAAAAGGACCTGTGATTTGTGATTGGATTTTAGGTCACTGGTTTCAGAGTCTGACATCAGCAGCACCCGTCGACTTCCAACGGATATGTAAAGTCACCGAGCAGTAAACCTGACGAAACCTACGAAACGCTTGTAAAACCGTGTTGCACCTTGACGGATGTCATATACACTCGATAATGATTGCAACTTTTCCTCATCACAAGAGGTTCTGGCTTAGATGGATGGAAGTGATTGTCAGTTCATTGAGCATCACCTTCGGTACACTAGGCCATCTCGCCCAAAATGTTCCCCCGATCTGATTTGTTCATACTGTAGTTTCCACCAAGGCCCGGCTGGACTGCGGGGAAAGGCTGCGACCTTACAGCCATCGCAGAAGCTTCCGACCTGTACTGTGCAACATCAATTTTCCTCCGATGACGTTTTAGCATGACAAGCGACTTCAAGTTGCGAACCTACTACACCTGATGCCCATTTCAGTCCCCTTCCCCATCTTTTCCTCTACTCCTCTCTCGAGCACGCGTCCGCTAGGGGCAGAATGGGACTGAATGTAGAACAGAGGTTACCAACTCAACTATAGTATCCAAAATTGTGGGTAGCCCAACGTGTTTTTTCTGGGGAAACTCGAATAACTTGTTCGAGGTCAATAATATATTGGTTTGTCGTGGGCTAGTAACATTCGGGCCGTTGGCTGTGAATGTCAACCACTGGGCGTATGGAGTGGCAGGGGGCGTGTTCAGAGTGGGCAGTTGAGTAAGCATTGGGGTGTACATCGGAGTACACCCTGTTTCGCGCTTCACTGACATCGGATGTATTGAGAAGACGGTTTCTATAACACCAACGGTTCCAAAATTGTCCCAGAACACAGCATATAAGCACAATTTGCCACACTCAACCGTAAACATTAGCGATGTTTCTCTTATAAACTGTTGTGTGTTGTTCGCCTTGTGTGCATTTGCCCGCCACCAACCTTGGGTTCAGTTACAAACATCAGCGCACTTAATCCAAGCACACATTCGCACTGTAGCCAGGGCTCCAGCTAATCAAAAGATCGAGAAACACGTTGTAGTAGGGTCGCAATATCGGAATAAACCCTGCAGGGTTGTAAACCGTGAACGATCATCTTGCTTTGTGTTGCTGGTGT